TCGAGTTTTCTCAAGAAATATAAGACACTAAGTAAGGTGAGAAATGAAACGAAAACTATGTAATAAGTAAGGAACGTTTTTGGCCAGACAGTCAGTAGTTTGTTGCGGTCCCAGTTAGAGAATTCTTTTGAAATTGAACTATGATGTTGTAGAGGTATTATTAAACCGGGTTTATGTGATCGTTTTGCTGGTCTAAAGTGTATATAAAAAACACAGGTTGGTTTTACGAACTTCGTGATCGTGATACGATATAAGCTAGGTTGTGGCCAGCTCGTGTACTTTCTTTTGCGATTGCGATGACGGGATAGGATAGAAGACACAGCAGGGTGGAGCTTCAATCTCGATCGACGATAAAAAGCGGATGGAACGATGCGAATTATAGCGGTGATAAATCACCAGCGAATTTCAGGGAACTGAGCGCCATTCAGCGAATAAAACTTTTTCAATTTCTACTTCTTCTTTTTTTTTTTTTTGCTCCCTCGTTTCAGGAAGGAAGAAATTTCCCTTGATTCGCGACGGCTATGCAATTTCCATGTAATTGTTGAAATCGTTGCTCCGCGAAACGTCTTCTTTAATCCCTGGCAACGCTACGCTGGCGCTGTTGCTACATAGCATTTCAATGCAACGAAGCTCCTGCTTTCACAGCTTGGCTCATCAGACGTTTACGTTGTCGATAAAACGTCGATAGATTATGGTAATTAGTACTATTTCGTTTTCTTTGTCTGGTATCGAATAATGTTTCTATATTCTTTTATCAATTTATGTCTGGTGGCTTATAATTCAACAACTGATATGCAAATTCATATTTTTAAAGATTCAAATAAAGAACGGAAGTTCAAACGAAGGTGTGTCTTATCTTCTTAACAGTGCAACGTGCACTTTATTATCGATATATCATATATTTGGCATTAATGGACATCCTTATACATTTTCCCATATTTTTGTTTACCGTCATTGCATATCGCATAACCGCGATATTTGCAGTTTACTTATAATTCTTTCGTATTATTTCGTTTACGTTTCGTGTGTCGAATAATTGTTACGAATTCCATTACGTTGCTCCTCGTACGAGATAATTAATTAATTCGTACATCTCCATGCAGAGCATTTCATACATTATATCTTATCAGCTTGATACTGGTCACATCCAGCAGTTGAGTCTGTTAAGTAATTGGTTCGTTTTGGTTATTAATAATATATGACGCGGCACGTGGATTTCGCGATAAACAATATTGGTAATTATTGTTTAATAGGATAATTTACTTCTGCGTTGTTACGTTCATTTGTATCCTGGCTGGGTATTTCTGTAATTCGAAGATATTAAACTCCTGTCGAATTTTGACATATTTTACTCGATAATTCGAATTCGCAGTAAAGCTTAAATTATTCCCATAATCATGAAATTATAGCTCAAGGCTGGACTTATCTTGCAACGTGTTATAATAATCAACTTCGGTGTACATTTTAATCATAATTAATATTTGTCAAAGTAAATATAAAATCCAGATTGTTCACTGATATTAGCAGATTAATTTATGAAGCATATTCTACGCAGGGAATAAAATAATGTTATTTTCTATGTACCCCTAGCCCTGACGAAAAATCCAATAAATTTTCGAGTCGAGAAAGGCCACTATCGCTAGTTTACGAGTTCTTCCTGAGGCACTTTTGCCATTCATTTTACGAGCACTTTTGGCACGCGTTGCGCGGCCACGAAACACTGCCGATCAATTTGCAAGTTAAATTGGCCGATGCAAATCTTCCAGTCGAAGGAGGCGTCGGTTCGCGCCCCAATTTGCCGACGGTTCGACTCACGGAAGTTTGGCACTGTTCTTTGTAATTTGCCAGACGACTTGGCCGAACGACAGGAGGAATCTCGGCCCTGTTTCGCGCGGATTTTCATTAATCTCGCAGTTACGGCTAAAAAAACACCCGAAGGAGAATTATCGGCTATGTGTGTAGATTTAAATCGTTTGAGAGGTTCGCGGATCTCAGGTTGTGGAACGGTGTGAAAAATATTTGTCAAATCTTTTGGACTATCGGATAGAAAAATTTAATACAAGAAAAAAAAAATGATAAAAAGGCTTATGCAACCTTCGCAATAGTGTCGAGGGAAGAGAGTGTAAGCGCACTTACAGTAAAAAGTGTAAATAGAGAAGCAGGATCTAATCGGTCTCAAGTTCCAATGAATCAAATGAAATCTTTTGCGTAATTAATTTTCCAGAGAAATAATTATCGACGCTTCTTGGGTAGAGAAATTCGAGTACACGGGGGCTCAGAAATCACGGCGAGTTACAGGCGGGGGTAAATAATCGAATCTCGCGTCGAATGGGCCATCGAGCAGTAAACGAGAATCGATAAATTCCTGTTCACGAGCGGCGATAATTAGTCGCCGGTCCCGATCGTCGATTTTTCTTGTCGGCGGACGTTCCAGCTCCAACGTTTCCGTCGCGGCGAAAGCGTTTGGCTTTAGGGTTTCGAGCACGGAAAGGGATCAATTTCTTTTCTGATGGAGGCTTCTCGTTGCAGCGCCGCACAAAGAAGCCATGGCCGACCTATAGAGAACACTTAATCGCAATCTCCGGCCGAATCGAGGCGAAGAGGCTGGAAACGTTGCGCAGATTGCAGCCAGAGATTCTCTGTACGGTTGGGCCCAGGCCAGGTTTGGGGTAAAAATTTATTCGAATACTAGACGATGAATAGAAACAACACGTAGCAATTCATTCCTGCTGATCTTTCGATCGAACAGTAAAATTTTGTAAGATTGTAATAGAAATTCTAAGTTTGATTGGAAGACGATAATCGTACGGATATTTCTAAATAGAAGAAATACCTCCGTAACCGAATCTTTCGAATAAAGCCTAATAAAGCCTCTCTAATAAAGAAAATCTACGGTACGAATAAAGTTGGATACTATGAAAAACAGATTAAAATGCCGAGAATGACAGAACTGTGTCTGAAGCGCAGTTCTTTTATTATTCGTGCAAAATAATATGCGAGATGAAAAAAGGAACCGCGTAACGAACGTGCCTGCTTAAAAAAAACTCCGTAGATCCATCGGCGAAGCAAGGCGTCTATTGTTCGCGAAACGATTCGACGTCTGATTCTCCGTTGCGAACAGTTTGCTGGTATCTCTTCAACGCCAGCTACCATTTCCGCTTCCTTTGTCCGCGTATCCGAATTACTCCCGACGTACTAGAACTCTTTCCCGCGTTTCTTCGGAAGAATGAAACGTCAAAGTTACTTTCGCGCATTGTTCTCGACGCGTGTTTTTATACGTTCAACGTACACGAGCCCGAAATTAACAAAGCCGATCGTAGCCCTTTCATCCTCGAGCGAGTCAAGCTTTTGTATAAAGATAACGGAAATTAAATTGTTTTGCGGAAGAAATATTTGTTGCATTCGTAGCTCCAAATCGAAGATGAGCGAACGAATGTTATTTATTAAGTTTCAAAAGTTTCTTTCGCGATTCAGTTACTTCGTGCAGTAATATTTATATAAATAGACAATTAAATAAAAACAAAAAAAAATATCACCTTACAGAGAACAACGAAATGAAACTTTTTTCATATTTACAATTTATTTATACAACGTTTAATTTTAGAGATAAAAATTGAAGACTTAGAAGACCTTTCTCCTGAAATTCAATTTTTACAATGATCTTCTAAGTTTTCAATTTTTATCTCTAAAACTAAACGTTGTATAAATAAATTGTACATATAAGAAACTTTCAATTTTTTCATCCCCTGTAAGCTGGTATTTTTTAAAAATTGATTTAACGAGTGCAAATATTTTTCTGAGCCCATTTCTCAAGGGCGCACACACACCGCGGTCAAAGTGTTAACCCTTCGAGCACGAAAGGGTTATTTAGTTGCTTTTAAAGAAACGTCCGTGTTCCATTTTAGCCCGTTCTGATCCGAATGGAGCCCGACAATACAAATGACAAGCCTTCGGTCCCGTTTGTCATCCAACGACTGAACAACACGATCCCTGGCAATCACCCGTATCGACTGGCGTTCCGATGGGGCCGAAAAACGTCGACAGAAGTAATTCACGGGGTGAGAAATTATGACAGATTACGGATCGTTAATCCCTCGTGGAGGGTAGCTCGACGCTCCGCGCTCGGATAACTCGATAATCCTCCGAAATCGCGAAATCGGATTACGGGGCCGCCAATCTTCGGGGAACAAGTTCGAAACAACGCTGGAACCTTCTTCTCTTGTGCACACATAATGTTTGCGTAACGCCGAGACAGCGTTTGCATCGATAAACCCCTTTCGACCCTAATATTTGGACAGTGACAGAGGAATGACACGATTAGGGCAAGTTTTCGAATAAGGTAGCGAAGGGCTCAGAAACCGGACGAACAAGTTAAGAAGTCCTCGAATTTTTGTGATTGTCGAAGTTTTTCGATTTATTTTGAAAATTGTCTTTGGAGATGGAATTTAATTTCGTTGATCCTCGACGTTCGCGCCAGTCTAGATCGATTCGCAGTCTTCGTTAATTCCCTCGTTTTTCAACGGACGTCAGAATCGCTGCAAAAACGACCAGACAATTTCTGAATCGATCGATCGACGGGATTATTGGGTTTTGCGAGGCTGGACACCGAGGCTTTTCAAGAAGGACGATGTCCTCGCCGACGAGCTCCTTTGAACCCGCTTTTGCTAGCCGATCGATGAGCTGGAAATGAAACGTCACGCGGTGTATAATGGTCCCGCCAACGATCGAGAATTATCGTTAATTTTCACGTTCGATTTGTCAAAGCCTCGCTGACGCGTCGATAATTCCTTAAACGTGGTGCAACCTCGTCAATCATTCATGTTTTTGTTTATTTATTCGGCGACGTCAGCTTTGCGCGACACTTAGGGTAGCTGCTTGAATAGCGGATGAATGCAACGGAATATAGATTAATCACTAGACCGCGGATATGTATTTAATGTTTTATATTTTATACGTTTACGCACTTGTACACGTCCTTGTGTATATCCGGTCAATTTTTCTGCGTTGCTTTCTTTATTTTAATAATATTTTATGTTACCTCTAAGACTGAATGTTTGTTAAATAACCCAGTTCTTTCTTGAGTAAATGTCAATAATGGGATATTGGCACGTTAATACTAAAATATTAATTAGATTTATCGAAACTATTCGATTCGAAATTTCATATTCATTATTTATTACATTTCTGACTTGTGTTAAACGATGCGATAACGTAAAATATTAAAAAACAACGAAAACAGGCTGGGTTGGTCAACAAGTAGTAGGAAATTCTTTGTAGAAGGGTTTCAAGTCCGTAGAGCAAATGAGACGTCAGATTTTGGAGAACGAAACAGACATTAAAAACGACCGGAATTTTGCAGGAAGATTTCCCCTGAATTTTGCATTCGTCCACGATAAGCAGCTTGCAAAGCATCATCTCTTTCGAATGAAAGGTTCTCCAATTTCCTCGAGTGGCACCCTTGTCGTTGCACAGTCTGAGGATATCTCCTCAGAGATTGCTCGTGTTTCTTGGAATCTTGTGTATACTTTATCCTAGACGCATTTTTCCGCCCGTTTCCCGCGAAACTTTTCCACCGATAGACGAATTATCTCCTCTTTGAACAGCGAACGTCTCGGGCGAACCCTTGTTTCGCGATAGATTGCTTTGATGTTCTCCTTGGACAGTGAACGATCTTGAAAATTTTAGAGAGCTCCGTGCAACTAATGGATTAACTACAAGCGGACGGAGAACTGCGCGAACTTTTGCTCCTTTGTATACCTTCTTTTCTGATGGACGGGCCAGGGAAGTGCATAAACTTCCTCCACGTAGAGGAAAGTAGTCGAACTTCCTTTTTCTTTCAAGTAAGTTAACCTGATAAATTAAACCTCGACAAATTATTCCAAGCTATGATTATGTTTGAAAGTGACGTGACTAATTCCTCTGGGGAATTAAATATCAAGTGTGCACGAATTTAAACATATATATATTTATTATTGATATATGTACGCCCATTCAAGACATTTGTCTAAATTAAATGATAGGTTTGATGTTTCTAAATAAATTTGGTGCGTGAAGTTCCTTAGTGTACATATTTACAACGAAACATGTTGAAGTTGTATTTCCTTAACTTTCCGTTACACCTTTCTTACCTGGCCTTAAGCCAGGTACCTTGATCAGGAATAGGGATATCTAAAGAGGAACAGAGGTTCGTGATGATACAACACGATGTACCATTTTTAATACATTGAACACCACCTCATTTTTATGTGGATGATTTGGGTTGTTTCCGCAGGGAACTAAGGAAATTAATCCCGAAGGTGTCAAGAAAATAAATCTAGATAAAATTCATAAATTTGACGAGTTCAACAAAACAAGTCTTACGACGTATGTTGGATTACTTAGTTTCCAATTGTGAAATCTTAACCTCGTTCACATTATTACGAGTTTCCTGAACTTCCTGTTATGCCTTTTTTTATGACCTTCATCCAGAAATCTTAGGGTTGGAAGAGGAACATGTAAGTAAGAGTAGAACAGAGAGATGGGAGATGATCCCGTGAGACGTGATGGTTGTGATCCAGAATTGTCACGGTCCAAACAGAAGTGTAACAGGTCAGTGTACCTGATAACACACTAACCTCCCGTGGGTGGGCCTGGGGGGCCGCCTAGCCATCCGGAGGACCATCCAGCAGTTCCTCCGATATTCTGTCGCTGCTCCGCCAGCAGTCGCACTGTCAGCGCGTACGTGAGCAGCATCACGCACAGCGGTATGAAAAAGCAGATTATGCTGCCGATCAGCTTGTAAAGGGGGTCCGGTATCTGACATGCGCCGTCCACCAGCAGCGATTCGTCCTCCTGTAACACGGCCAAAACAGGATTATGCACTTAACCGTCGCGGCTGATCGGATATTCTACACGGAACCGTGGTCTTTTTACAGCTACGCTAAGTCGTCCATGCTCTATTTGCCACGGTTTTCCCCTTTTCACGTCCCATCCCTCGATGGTTTACGCAAACACTGGGTACCACCGAGGAGTTATCGACCTCTGGGGGAGGGAAAGTCGAGGAGGGAAATACCTAAGTGGAAAGTTCGAAGTTAATTGTGTGGCAGAGTTTGAGAACTGGAGGGAAGATCCCAAACTGCAGAGGGTGCTCGTACTTTATTATGGATCGAGAGCTATGAGTCGTCACTCTGGTGACAAAGGATTGTTGCTAGAGGAATTTCTGGGCTTGGGGAAAGTTAAAGCTGGAGGAAAGTCGTTGAGTGGGAAGTTTGAACTTCGTTATGTGCCAAGGTTTGAGAACTGGATTGAGAACCTTGAGCTGTTTCTGTGGTAGCTTGAGTAAATATATTGGCACTTCTGCTTTGTGTTCGTATCGATTTGGCAGGTGACAGGGGATCGTTACTCGAGGAATCTGTGGGGTTAGAGGAAGTCGAGGTTGGAGGGAAACCACTGAATGGGAAATTTGAACTTGATTATGTAACAGAGTTCGAGTGCAAGATTTCAAGCTGCAAGGGGTGGTACTTCTTCATGGATTGGGGTTTGTGAGTTATTACTCTGGTGGCAAAGAAATGTTGCTCAACCTCTTCGGTGACGATTTGTTTTTCTTATTATCAATTTTTTGTTCTTTTTATTATTGCTAGTAATTATAATTATGTATAAGAAACTAAACGTCCGCATATGTGGCCAAGAGCGTGAAGTGGTTAAAGAATGTTTAGAATTGGGGGAAGTTGAAGCTGGAAGGAAACCACTGAGTGAGAAATTTGAACTAATAGATTATATACCACAATTTAGGAACTGCTTGGAAGATTTTGATCTGATGCTTTTTTATGTATCGAGGGCCTTCAGCCGCTACACTGGCAGCTCGAGCAGAAACTAATCAAAACTAATCAAATGCAATAGAACGAAATATAAACCGAACTTCGCACGTTTCAGCTCCATTCCTCAGACCCTAACAGGACCTCCTGCGTTCTGTTTCAGAACTCCGGAGCAATGTCCCAGCGTGGTGTCGCTCCTGGCGGAGAGCTACAACCCCCACGTGAGATACGGCGCGGCGATGGCCTTGGGGATCGCGTGTGCTGGCACAGGCCTGAAGGAAGCCATAACCCTGCTGGACCCCATGACGAACGACCCCGTGAACTTCGTGCGCCAGGGCGCCCTGATCGCCTCGGCCATGATCCTGATTCAGCAGACGGAGGCCACCTGTCCCCGCGTCAAGGACTTCAGAGCCCTGTACGCCAAGGTCGTCGTGGACAAGCACGAGGACGTTATGGCGAAGTTCGGCGCGATTCTCGCGCAGGGCATCATCGACGCCGGTGAGTCGACCTCCTTGGACGTCGTTAACCGACCCTTTCGACGTCGGTTAACGTCCCCGACTCGAGGGGAGTCACCTGACGTCGGCGGGAATGCGTATCGTTCATCAGAAACTCGACGTTATTGCGGACCTTGTGCTTTTTTTCGGGGAGGAAAAAGTGAAATGGAAGCTCTTCTGCAGCCGTTTATCGCGCTGGTGATGAGGTGTTGTCGAGGGGCTAGGTTGTAGACTGTTTAGGATTGGGGGTGGGTCCATAACTGGAAGCTATCGAAGTATCATCACGGTTGATATCATAGGTTTCTATTAGAATAACGCGTAGAGTAAGCTGATTTTATGTAAGCTGAATCTTGACGACGAGGAACAAAGTTATAGCAGCGTTTAGTATCTTAAAATGCTAAGCTAATTCGGATAGCTTCTCGTGTATCAACATTCGCGAGTCATTTCAAGTGGCAATCCTTATTGACTCGCCGCGTGTATCGCAGTATCGTCAACCGGTTAATTGAAAATCCCCCAAGTGGTCTCCATGGCATCTCGTCTGATAGAGTGCTTCTCCTAATCCGATTTTCATGCGAAATTGATCGAATGCTATCCAAACAATAGCCTCATGTGTAACGATGATAACTGTTCCAGGCGGGCGTAACGTGACGGTGTCTCTCCAGTCGAGGACAGGCCACACGAACATGCTGGCGGTGGTCGGCGCGCTGGTGTTCACCCAATATTGGTACTGGTTCCCTCTGGCTCATTGTTTGGCGCTCGCCTTCACCCCGACCTGCCTAATTGCTCTCAACTCGCAACTGAAAATGCCCAAGCTGGAGATCCGCTCCAACGCTCGGCCAAGCGTCTACGCTTATCCAGCGCCGTTGGAGGAGAAGAAACGCGAGGAGAGGGAAAAGGTCACCACCGCTGTCCTCAGCATCGCCGCCAGGGCTAGGAGACGCGAGTCCGAGAGACGTGCTCGCGACTCCCACGAGAAGATGGACGTGGTTAGTTCGAGGACTCACGCTTTATGCTACAGCAGACTCTGGATTATTATATCGCCCTTCTCGTCTAGAGAATTGTTAAGGGGTACCACTGTTAACGTCATAGGATATTCTAGGACATAAATGTTTGTATTATGCAGTATGGAATCCTCGAAATTAATGCAACAACAGTGTACCAACTCTTTTGCCAAATTTGTTGAAATTGTTGCACAATCAGGGTAAATTGGTAAATCTCTGCTACGTAGTCACTTTATTACATAGTTAACATATTGGTTGAATTTAAAAGGATCGAAATACAAAAGACAAATTGACTGACTCGGTAATTTTAATGTTAATTTCCGTTGTTTAATGATGAATTGCAGGACCCACCAGAGACAAAGACGACTGTCGAGGTGAAGGAGGCGTTGCCCAGCGAGAAAGAGGAGAAGAAGAAGGAGAAGGAGGAGAAAGACGAGAAAACGGAGAAGACTGAGAAGCCAGAAAAAACGGAGAAGGCTAAAGAGTCGAAGGAGTCGACGAAGGAGACAAAGGAGAAAGTGGAGAAGGGCGAAAAGAAGGGCAAGGATGAACCTGAGAAAGGGGAGAAGGAAAAGAAGGAACCCGAGCCGAACTTCGAGAACCTTCAGAATCCTGCTCGCGTGTTGCGACAGCAGCTGAAGGTGATCCAGCTGGTGGAGGGGAGCCAGTACGTTCCTGTCAAGGATCTTCAAATTGGCGGTATCGTGATGGTGAAGCACATACAAGCTGACACGGAGGAGGAACTCGTGGAGCCTGTGGCTGGTAAGTGGACACCCCTTCGCGGTACTCGTCGTACCGGTAGAGTCACCCCTCTAGCTCGCGGCGTGCTAAATTTCGCTCATTGAATCTAACGATCCCTTAAAGCGGACTGGAGAAGCAATTTTACCTGTTAAAATTATTAGCTGTGATCGCTTTTCGATTTAACTAACGAGTATCTTGGAAAGGCAACTTCTTGTTGACATGTCAGAGCAAGAGAAAGCCATAACGGAAAGCTTCGACACTTGCCAGGTATAAAGTACTATTTGAACTCTTTGTCGATATCTCAAAGCAAAAAAAGAAAAACCATAAGGGAGACTTTCTGATAATTTTTACATTTTTTATTCGTACATTTTGCTCTTTCCAGGTGTAAAAGTATTATTTAAACTGTGTTCTTGTTCAGCAGCGCGATCCATGATAACGAGAACGATAAAGAGATTTTTTTTTCCTTATATATCAAACCAAAATTCATTTGCGATAATAATAAATGTATATATATACCAGTATATTCATATTGTAGGCTAAGGTTCGAAAAAATATTTTTTGTACTTTCACTTGTTTACATTAAAATCATTATTCATGGAATTTTCTTATAAAATATTTTTCATTTTGTAAACAAATTCCTAATGATGGCCTCGTTCTGGACCAACGCGTCCGTCTAATGGCTCTGTAATTGACCGTCTATAAAGGGTTACATCTAGATTTGTGACGCGATCGGTGAACGTAGCTGCATCGTGCGAGGAGTTGTCGTCACGTTGCGTTCGATTACCGCCGTTATGTTTCAGCTTTCGGCCCGAAACCCGACGAGGAGAAGGAAGCTGATCCTCCGGAGCCGTTCGAGTTCACCGAGACGTTCACCGAGGAGTAAAGCTCCGTCGCTGAAAATCTCTCTCCTCCAACGCCTTCATCGTCGGAACGCGAAAAAAGGTCACTCGTGCATATGTATACGCGCGCATAATTCTCTGTCTGTAGGAGCGAAAAAGATTTAAAAAAAAAAAAAAAAAAAAAAACTGTCGCCACCCCCAGAACCCATTCTGTCGATACGAGTACGCCGTTCTGCTGCAACACTTTCTTTTTTTATTTTCATACCATTAAGCCCCTGCTCGACATCGTCCGCCATCGAACTGATGCTACGTTTCTTCGAGTGATTAATAAATATAATTTGCTCCGATCGTCAACATGCGTTTTATTTACTGGAAATCCTGTTGGTCGTTTAAGATAACCAAGGATTAATTTCAGAATTTACTTATTTTTTGTTTTTTAGGATTACAAGGTGAAGTTCAGGTAAAATAAAATGCTAATGCATTTGGGTATTCTTTTCTAGCGACACTAACCGTTACAAATATTCCATAGTATATTAAAAGTACATACTTCGAGCAAGCGTCTTTATAACATCTCCCGTCGCAGAACTTAAAAATGGCCCCCCGATCGATCTCACGCTGGACCATTTTTACCAAGTCCAAATACATAACGAAGCCTAAATTTTCTTAATCTTTAAGGCACGCACAAACACCACGTAAATGGAACATCCATTATTAGCATTCGTTTCCTTGGAATTAATTTCCAAAGCTTCTCTCGAATCAATTCGACCGTCGCACCCCTTCGAACTGAAACAGTCGCGGAATCGTCGTTCAAAGCATTCCCAGCATCAGACCTCGGTTCGAGTATTCAGCTCTCCTTTATGCAAACTTCATTCACGTGGGTAGCGACACCCAACGAGCCGCGACTATCGCTTGTAGAGGCAGAGTCGCAAATCAGACGCCTCTGTCTGCCGTTGAAGCTTCCTTGGGGAGCTTAACCGCCCAGACCGGGGCGATCTTTCCGCTTCGCGTGAGAATACGCTGCAATTCCCAGCAAAAACGACTGCCACCTTTCCTCGCGTGCATCACGATGATACGTTTTCGTCCGTTTTCAAACCGCCTCTGTTCGTTTCCGACGCGAGAATTCACAAAGGTGCCCGAGGATCGATGACGTCGAGCCGTCTGACGAACAAAGACGACTTATCAAAAACTATGAACACGACGGAAACCATTCGTCACCGCGCAGAATGCTATCTACAGGGTGTTTCGTTCAAAGTGGAGTTGTTGAATATGTCGCGAGGGTATGAAGTTATCTAGAAAATTGTTTTTACAATGTTGCGTCCTTTTCAGTAATTCGTTCTTTCTCTTCAAATAGCCTCCATTTTTGTTTTTTTTTTATATATAAAGTATATGTTGAATTCTTATGATTCGTTAGCTTTTTGTTGCGAAATAGGCCATTACCAGAAATTCTAATCCTTCGTTTCGAACTTCCTCCAAGGGGTAAAAACCCTCCAGTTTCCCAAATACACGCCTCTGTTTTTCCCGAATCGTTCCACTCGCTGTCTTTAAGAATTTATCTACGGCAATAAAATCGACACACCGCGCACAACACGCGGTTGCCTCGCGAACAACCGTAATTTCCAATGGCAAGAAAAGTTTGCCCGTTCCGCTCTATTAATTCCCATTCCTAGCGTATACTCATTAATCTTGCTAAAATATGTACCTCGTTTCCGCGCGTAAACGCGACCGGGCGAGCAACCGAACTAACGATGACTTTCTAATTAACTCGGTCGACATTAAAGCCCGCCACGAACAATATAAATTACCATCGACGTTCAAGTATAACGCGCGACCGAAAGCAATTTCTAATAATACATCTACACCGTAACTTTCGGATCTCTCTCGTCTGATCGCGTGAAAAATGCGAATAATATCCCGCCCGTCTGAAAAACACCAGGATTCCTTCCACGCCCGGGGGACGCGAAAATCGCAAGACGAGCTTCCCGTAACTTTACTAAAAATTTACATCAGCGACGCGAGTTCGAATTCCGTGGGAATGCGAATCCTAATTTCGCTGAAATATTGACTCGCGGCGCCGGCCGTTGAACAATTCCGTGGCCCAGTTTTTTCGTTTGTATTTTCGTATGGAGATTGTCAGAATTTAATATATTCGGAATTCCTTGGGCCCCAATTTGCATCCTAATGGAGACAACACGCACGTCCCACCCGACCGAAATAGTCACTGCAAATTTTTATCACCGTAAACTGTTAATTTTTTACCATCTTTTTGTCTACTGCGTGCGTATGCAAACAACGTAGAATCTGTATGGAAATTCTTCGGTTGTAGAAGCACATTTATACTGCGTGTCTTTTTTTAAAATTTTCAGGAAAATAATGGCAACAGTGTAGTTAATGTTTCTTAACGACGATTTTGTTTTTACTCCGACCCTTTCTTTAGCGAAACTTCAAGCGCAACCCTCCGGAGCGACTCGATACTGCACATTTCGCAGATTTTAAAATCGCTTTTCAGTACCCTTTCTGGCTGCCTTTGGTATCCACGATTTACGCTGTGAACGCAAGAAAGACGAAAGAACCACGGGTTTCGTGCTGCACGACGAGTGCACGAGTGCCTGTCAACGGTTTAATGGACGGGGTATTAGGAACTCGGAATTGCCGGTTATGCTAGGAACCGTTTCTTCGTTTGCTCGCTGCCATTTACATCCGGTAATTGATACTTCGCATTTGCAATTTTTGTTAACGACCGCGATTATTATCGTCATCTGACTATTCTTTATGTCGACTGTATTTCTTATATTTGTTAAGGGCTATCTAAGATAAAAAAAATCAGCTCGATCAAAGCGTACACAAGGGAACATATCCAATTGTCCAATAATTCCTCGATGATTGCTTAGTGACTATAAAAATCGTGACACAAGAATGATTCTTGAAAGTTACTATCGTTCTATATGCTACTATAATACTATTTACAATCAATGGAAAAACCAATAAATTATTTAGCTTTTGTTTTGTATTTTTCTGAGAACTACCTGCCGCATAAGTTTTAACAAAATCGGCGTGTGACAATTGGATATGTTCCCTTGTCAGCTGGAACTGCACTCTTCGTGCAAACTGGCTCACCTTCGAGTACATCAGACTGAGCGGCAGGCTCATGGCAATGCTGAGGACCCAGACGAAGAGAATTTTCAGGATGACTCTTCTTCTGGTTTTGTTGCGTCCGAACTTCATGGGGTACCGCAGGCTCAGGTATCGATCCACGCTTATGGTGCAGAGGTGCATTATGCTCGCGGTGCAAAATATCACGTCCATGCAGATCCAGGCGAGGCAATAGACCGACGGCAGCGGGAAGTATCCTGAAATAAAAAATTAATTTTTTTTTACGTGGAACGGTAACAGGAAAGGTATTACCATGTTTAAAAATAAAAATAAAAAATTGATGCGTTTGTGTAAACGGTTTCACAGTGTTTTCATTGTCAACGAAAATAATATTCATATTCTATTCGCGATATTTGCAAACTGTTTCATTCTAAAAGTGAATCCACTTTTATATTTGTTGTATTTAGAACAGATTGTTTTGTTGTCTTTTTTTTTTTGGCTAAATTTAGTACTAACGAAAATTGTTTACTTTATAATACACGTTCACCTTTTCCAGACAATAATACTGAAAATAAAATGAAACAAATACTTACAAAACTTAATAGTAAACGAAACACTCAAATACATGTACCGAACGAAGCTAACATTTCCGTAAACACGATTTGTAAAATTAGATTGGGAATATGTGGTCGGTCGAAAATACTGTTTAATATCACATTTATCATTAAACGTTGAATATTTATCGTCCGCATTTATAATCATAAATTAATTATTATTTGAATAGGGATTTAATTTCACACGGAACGTGTCGGTAATGAAAAACACGTCCACGATATTTTTTTTTTTTTTTATAAATATTCTAACGCTCGAAGAACCGCCATGCCTTTTTTTTCTAAATAAATTTCTACCTCCTGGCTGAAAGGTGAAACAACACGCTCGTTGACTGGAATTAAATTTGTATACCTGGAAACCAAATTGAAAATTAGTGTCGAAATAAACGGACTCCTTTGTGCCGTCGAGAAATTGCCTGGCTCGGAAAAGCCAGTTTAAAAATTTTCCTCGTTTTCATAACCGTGCGCAGCGCTTTACGTATGATTGATGGAGAAAAATGGCTCTCTCGTCACGGAATTGTTTATCTTGCGGGGAAAGTAACAATTCTCGTGAAATGGAATTCAAAAAAGATTGGCTGTCTTACATTTATCTTTATGATATTGAAATAATAATAGCGACAACAATGCATCTTCGTTGGATCAGAATTTCGTGGAATATTATATAAACACGAACATTTCATACATCTTCTATATATATATATATACTAAGTTTCATTCTGACTTAGTTAATTCTTCATAGAATTTAGAATGATAAATTTCCCAAAATTTCTGACCGAATATCGAATCTTGTTCCTAATACATTTTTCCCAATTTTATTATACAAACTCCCGCGTGCTTTGTATATTTAATGTGTTTCTATACGCGAAGAGATAAATTCAACGAAATCGAGTATGGCGAAATTTAAATTCGTAAGGTGACCGTCGGAAGTAAAACTCTGCAGAAGTCTGGCTAGGGTTAAGACAGTAGTTGCAGATGTTCCAATTAAAATGTAATATGGGAAGCTTAACGACTTCCCTGTACCGGAACCTAATTTATACATTTCCAAGTCTAGTCACACCGGGCTGATCTCCAGAATTATTAAGTTAGCCAACGAGCCGGGATGGAAAGATAGAAATTCTAGGAGCGTCGTTTACATCGACTCAACCAGAATTACTCATCGTTCTGAGGGCTGTTGTTAGTCAGCGCACGTCAGCACGTGTACCCAGCGGTGGAGATACAGAGGAATCGTAAAAACAGCAGGGCGCGAAGACGGGCTCGCGCTTAAATGTCGGGTGTCGAGACCTTTGGGGACTTCCGAGAGAATCCTAGGTATTTTTTACTTTTACGACGTGTACGATATTCCATCGGTGGCTTGGACGTTTTAAGGGATGGAATCGCCTAAGTGGCTTAATTATCGCTATCAAGACAAGAAAATTATGAGTATTATTTCATTTCCAAGTTTTATCGTAATTTCGAGTGCAATGACACTGCGACTACCTAGATAAGAAAATTGCGAGTATTGCAAACAATTCTATTACTTAAGCGACAAATAGATAACGCTCGAAGTGATTCGTGAACATTTTAACTCTTGGAAAATCTCCCGTGGACGTTACTTTTTCGGCGCATGCCATTTCTGATAAATAAATTTCCGTCGACAGGTTCAAAGGGTGAAACGATTGCTCCCGTGCGTTGAACGCGAATTTGTAAAGTCGGAAACCGGATTGGAAGTCAATTTCGAAATAAATGGATTCTTCCATGGTGACGAAAATTTGTCCACGCGATGAAATTTGCCATGAAGCTATAGTAAACGCTTTTTAATCTATAGTTGCTTAATATTTGTTGCTATCCATCGAGTACTTCGACTAATTAATAGACTGCTTATGCAAGGGGTGGGGATCATGTAGGAGATAATAGATAAAAACATAAATTAAAGTGTATATTCTACTTTTTTATATTTTACATATTTACGCATCTGTACACATTCTTGTATATTTTCGAATATTTACATTTGTAATGAATGCACAAATATAAAAAAGTTCGCTATTCTCTCGAATGCACCTCAGTTTAGGAAAGCTGTTACACTAAAACGCGGTAGATTTTTTAGGGTTGTACAATTTGCGGAATTAATATAAGCCGGTATATAAAAACAAATGGAAATGCTTTCGTGAAAATATCCTCGGCGAGCGTTCCCATTTTGTATATCGCCGTCGACTTTCTGTCGTTGAAACGCGCATAAAAATGACATGTTAACGAAAATTGAGGACACTTCTTCCGTCCGTCGAGGTAACGAAGAAAGCAGGTAAAAAATCGCGTATCGCGATGGAGCTCTTCCCTTAATTGGAAACAAGCACTATTTTTGTAAATTACGCAAACACGTACAAACTGCTGGCAAATTGCAATTTTGGTCGTTACGTCACAAAGGTACCAAACCCTCGGAAAAATTAATTAATTAAATAAACTAAATAAATTGAAGTAATGAATAACAAGAATTATTATTTAAGATCAGATTGAGTGCTTCGTCTTGTATATTGATAAAAAAAAGTAAATTCTAATTTCTATTCATTTGTTTATCGTATTTATTTTTGCGTCTTGCTCTCAATTTTCCTAGAAACACGCATGTGATCCTAAATAGTATATATTCTGCTCAGCTTCCAACGATTACAACGTCTCCCGTCGTTGAATATCAAAATTTTCTGCAAACCCGTGACACGTGTTGTTTTAGTTAATTATGTCCTTTATGGAATCGCAGCCTTTATTCTGATATTTCTAAAGCGTGCACGACCGGAAATGGAACATTCGGAATATTCGTAATAACGTTTCCCTGTGGTGGTTGAATATCATGATGAATTTGCATTGACCAAGCCTACGGTTTTAAAAGTAATTACCTCGAAAGACTTAATACTTTCACACACGCTACGATATAATGACGTATAGAGTGCCAAGTATACGTTAATCGGCATTCCCACGTCACGATAAAATATAACGCAAACATGACGGTGATAAAACGAAGTCACAAAGGAATACGATCCCAGTTGTAAATACACGTCACCTTCGTACACGCTCCTTTGATACATGAAATTAATTTTTAATTATGCTTCCACCTTCTCACAACAACTTTTATCGTGTCGCGATAGAAACTTTTCAATAACTACTAATGAATAAGCAGTAGAGAAAGAAATACAAAAAAAAAAAATTATAAAAATAACGCATCACTGGTACCTCCAGCGAAAACGTATTCTAAAAGAATATCTGTAAAATTATCAATTCGACCAGTAATAATTAATTCCTTTGCCTGAAAACAATCATTTTCCGCAATTCTCGTATCCGTACACCGATTCTATTTTAATGAAAAATTCGTTGGACAGGAAAATTGATAGTAAATATTATTATGCATCAGGCGCAATTGGAAAACAATTTCGCAATCTGATTGTTTTTTACTGTTTCGGCATCACAGAAAAAATGTTTAATGTTTACTTAATCTGATTTGTCGCGTCTTCTTATCGCCTGACTACAACAGCATCACTGCTGTATTACGAATTTTATATAGCAGTAACAGATTAATTATCATACACATCGTATCGATTTTAGCAGGAGAAAGGACACTGTGTTGTTTATGATAGTATCGTAGTTAGAAAAGTGTAATATTTACATGTAGTACAAATCCAATGGTCAGAAAGGGTATATTACTCTTGGTCTGACCATATACGATCCTATACTACTTCCCGCTCTGACCACCTCGAAACGCAAAAATTCTTACGCTGCTAAATAGCGCACCAATGTCGCGTCTTTGCGCGCGAAATTTCCAAAATTCGCGTGTCTCGACTTTTGTATTAATCCAATTCGAGGGTATCAAGGTTCCTCGGAAATGTTAACAACTATTTATTCCGTAACCAGCGGATCCGGTTACGTACGAAACTCCGAAATCTCCGCGAATTTTAGGGTTGCCTCGGAGTTAGCCGGCAATTTCCGAATCTAGTTACCCCCGAAAGGCCCCCCGCGGACGAGATTATTTCGCAATTTAAGAAGCCGGTTACGCGGACGGTTTTCCAGGACACGGTTATCGCGGCGTGGCGGAATTTATTAAAAAGGTGGAACGGCATTCGTGTCGGTGTGGATGGAGTCCTTGCGGTGTCCTTGCATCATGTAATAGCACGATGATGCGACAACATTCACAGGGACAGGTGATACTGTACGGTCGAAAAATGAACGAGAGAAGAGATTGAGAAAAGCTGTTCGTTCTTTTGATAATTAGTAATTTACAATTTCATATTACCTATATGTATATATTTAAGAGTATGTATGACAATTCGGTATACGTTTTCTCCAGGGAATTAAACCCTATGCCGAGGCTACAATCAAATCTTATACTTATGCGTATATATTCTATATATTTCCACGTGTATGTACGTAAATATATATCATTTTTATATTTCATATTTATATTGATATTTCAATTATTCGTTCTTTACAGACATATACATATAAGAATAACTGAAATATAAAATACTACATTCAATGAAATACGATTCGACGGGAATTCTGTGAAAACGTGAAATGACCGTCATCGCTTTTTATTCCATTCAACAAATATGCCACCCTACTACATAAACATGTTTTTTTTTTTTTATAATCCTCTGTACACTCTTTTCAACCCAAATGCCAATGCC